TTTCTTATTTTTCCTTTTTTTTTTTTTTTCTTCCCCCTGAACTATTCCCTCGTTTTTAAACTTTAAAAGAAAATGAGCGAAGAAGAGGAAGAAAGGAGAGTAAGAGTGGTAGGTAGATTTGTAGTTCAGTCGCCTGATTGCTCCAGGAGTTTTACCACAAGCTTTCAAAAGCTCTTTTTGCAGTTTGGGAGACGAAGAGCTTGCATTTTGCTGAAGCTCACTTTTTTCCCCCCAAGATACTGAGCTATTAGTTGTTGCAGACTTCCCAGTTTTGGTGAGATTTGTGCTTTCATGGCAGCCTGATAGCTTTGAAAATTTTACACAAGGTGTCTTGAAAATGTGAACTGCAGCATAGCACCATTCAAGCCAGCAGGATTTTCCAAACAACAGCATTTGGGGGCTGGGTTAGGTTTTCCTAAGCTTTCTTGCAGGCATGTTCTGTGCTAGTTTGGCCTGCTAGGTGCAAACTTCTCTTGAATCAAGATCTCCACTTCTGCGGGATGAGGTGGCCTCTGCTCCAGCTGAGGCGGTGCAGGTTGGATGGCAGGGTCCTGACAGCAATATTTTGAAGGAGCACATTTTATGATAACTGTTGCAGCTGTGTCCCGCAGGCAGCAGTATGTTAACAAGTAAACAAGTACCCACAATGAATCAGTGTGCACACTCAAGTTACAATTTTGTTTCCAACTATTACACACTCTGGCCATGCTAACCAAAGCAGTCAATAATACTAATGCGTTGTAGCCAGAGAGCAGGGAGTAGCCTGAATACAGTGCCCTTACTAAACAAATTTGTCTACATGTGTGCACATCTTTATGGCCTCTGTCTGTAGGCTACTTTGTGTAAAAGCTGACCTGCATGAGTTAGGATCACACTTATTTTAAAGGTAATTTCTCCCCCGGGGCTTCAGTGCTGGCTGAGCAAAGTTAGTGGTTTCTTCAAGTGAGAAATTCCAGTACTACAAGGCATTTATAATCCTGAAGAACACAAAAGTATGGGATGCTCCTTCCCCTGAAATGACACATCAGATTTGCAACAGATGCCAGAAAAGAAATGGGTCCAGAATTTTGAAAAGCTTGACTTACTTCAGATCATATTTGAGTATGAATTATCTGATGCCGTCAGATGAACTAAACTCTTCAGATCATGAGTCCTTAAAAATATTGATGCTCTTCCAGTTCTCCTCCTTAACACAAATAAACTGTGCAGAAATGTGTGAACATTTGCTGTGCTAGAGAGCAGTTAAGCTAAGCCATCAGAGAGCTTGTTCTCTCAATGGGCAGGCAGTGTGGCTGTGAACACGATGCTGCTCATCCTTGAAATGTGGTGATGTTCACATCCCTCAGTCTGACAGCAGCGCCCTGGCAAAAGGAGAAGTCACTTGTCTGCTTTGGAAAATCCCCACAACTAAGTGCAATTAGAGATCGCCACACCAGCCAACAGAAGTGAATCAGCGAATTCAGTATTCTCCCTCTTGCTGTGGTCTACGCAGGGTGATTCAGAGGAGAGTGCACAGAAAACCACAAAGCAAACACGAAATTACCTCTCTGTTAGGAGATTTTTGGGAGATGTGTAATGAGTGGCAATGCCAGTCAAAGAAAAAGGGGAATGTTACCACGAAATACCGACACTAAAAATTAGGATGTTTCTAACTGTCGTCTCCAAATATTTTTTTGCCTTAAGATTAACAAAAAAAAAGCGGTATGATGAATCTACTTTTTCTTCTTAATAATAATAATCTGGGTAAGATCACACACACATGCTCCTAATAATACAGCATTAGAAAAAGACAACAAAAAAGGAATATGCTCAAGCATGAATCAACATCGGCATTAGTTAAAGTCACTTGTGTTTGTCAGTGCTTTTGTATGTGTGGACATTAGGGACCCATCTGGCTCTCTGCGTTTCTTTTTCACATGTGCTAGCTACATCCAAGATAAAAGGTAAAATGGAACACTGAGGAAAATTATGGGGCTTTCCGACACTCCTCCAAGGACTTTGGGTTTATAAAATAGTAAAAGAACTACAAAGAGACAAATGCAGAACTTTAATCTGTGAGATACCATCGCACTCGTATATCTGTTAGGCAAAGCAAGAGTATGCTAATTTTAAAAACAAAAAGCAAATTGAAACAAGAATAAGCATGCCATATTGATTTATTTGTATTTAGCATGTGCATATGTGCAGGTCAGAGCATGATAATTAACTTTAAAAAGCAGTTTGAACTTCACAGCTGGGCTGAGTGAAATGGTTAAAGTTTTACTTTAGATGTTTTGTAATAGCATGTATTAGCTTCAAGCAAAACTCATGGAATGGAAATTACTTCTCCAAACTATGAGGTGGGGTTTCAATATTTACTGGCATGATTCAACCCTGTGAGTGAAATGAAAAATATGCAAGACACTTGCTTTCCAGGCTGTGTATTTTACAGGCTAACACAGGGATGAGGACAAATAAATTAGACTCTGCTTTGCAGCTGTTTTTTAATCATTCCTATAATACACAAAGCATACAAAGTGTTGTACCATTTGCTTCTAGTTCTGGTTTGGTGCATGTGAGATTTATAACCCAGTGGAAGTACTCCAGGTTGCATCACGTGTCAGGGCAGTCAGGCCCTCGCCCTCAGCTTCAGAGTCGGAGCCGTTCTGACCCTTGCAGCGTGATCTGAGCAGGCAAACCCTCATGGCCAAAACAGACAGACACTGATTTTGTTGTATCAGTGCATGGTGTTTGCTTCTTACCCAAACAAATCATCCTAATGGACCCAGGCCTAGCTTTAGACCTAAACACTAACTGAAGCCAGGAAGGAGAAAGACGAGAGTGGATTTGGGTGTTTACTTAACATTTTGGTTTGGGGATGGCTTTTTTGTTTTGTTTTGTTTTGTTTTGTTTCTCCTTACTTAGGTTTTAAGCTCCTGAAAAAGTGAACAGATTATAGGAGGCAGTAGGACCAGAAGAAACACAAGTTTAAAAGAGAGAAGACAGGGAAAAGAAACTAACCTGGATGAAGATGGCAGAGAAGGAAGACAGGAACCTCCTGAGACACAGTTGGATGGTTAAAGACAGCATAGTGGAAGAGGATCAGGCAATTTCGCTGGATTAGCAACGCTAGTCATTAAGAAGATCAACAGGCTCTGATTTGAACACAAGCAGAGACTTCAAATTCAGACAAGATCAAATGCTAGCTATTACAAAGAAAAACGTAGTAACGGTATGATAAAACCACCATCAAACGTAATCCATTCCTTCCTTAAAAGTCAAAGGAATTGTGTATACAGTAAATGTCCAGATTCCAAGTGATGAGAGAAAATGCTATTGACTTCTGTTTCCTCTGTCCTCATTTATGAATTTCAAATCACCTGCAAGGTCTTCAGGTAATTCAGTTAGTTCATCATTGTTTATTTTCTTTCTTACAGTTACAAGAACTGGGGAAAGTGTGAAATATATCAGCAGTTCATTGTGGGGAAGCTGTTAGGTGTTTGTTTTGAAGGTATGCTAATATGAATAGCAATTTAGATTCTTTTTCACAACAAATAGTCCAAAGATTCAAGAGACAGTAAAGACAAAGCTACTGGTGATACCGCTATGTGATCAGAGATGGCGTAATGTCCTTGACCATAGTGTGCCTTGGTTTGTCAATGGGCTTACTCAGGTGGGTCAAATGAGGACTGGTCATGAAGAGTGAGGCTTCACCACCAAGGTCAAAGCCTTATAAAGCTGCTGGCATGTAACTAACAATGTGTTGTCAAACTGAATTCATCAGTTTGCTTTTTACTACTTAAGGTTCTGTGAAAGTCCATCTGCAGGAGACAATTTGTCTTTTCACAGCTTAAGAAAAATTAGGTGCTTAGGAACAGGATCAATGTAGCTACGTTAATGAAGCACCATTACTTGTATGGGAAGAGAGGAAAACATCATGCTAGCAGTTTGATAAAACTCCAGTTCTCTCCAGTCAGATAGACCCAGCTCTGAATGGCTTCCCTGGAAGTCAGGGAGCCAGCACTTC